CGCTCAGCGGCACTTTTGCCGCTCAGCGGTAAGTGTGGCACTGACGCTCAACGGAATTTGGCGCTCAGCGGTGATTTCGGCACTTCAAAACTGCCGCTCAGCGCCACTCAGCGCAACTTTTTCTGCACTCTGGTTGACTTTTCTGCATTCTGGTTGACTGTTGACTTTTCTGGTTTCTGGTTGACTTTTCTGCATTCAAACCATTCTGTACTTTAACTCTTCTTTCAAATCATTCCAATAACCTACAAAATCAAGGGAATATAGCACAAAATCATTAAATTCACCTTCAACTCTCTTATTCACAAAACTAAAGCAAAAACATGAGTTAAAACAAGTTTCTAAGTCAAAAAGGGTTGATTCATTATCAAAATTAAGTATAAAAATAACGGTTTTTCAACCGTTATCAATAGATAAGAATGTAAAAGTGTCGAGACAATGTTTTTGGTAAGCCCTTTGAATGTCTCCATTAATATTCCAAAAACTTGTTGAAGATAACTTGTAAAACATGCTTGTTGAAGAAAGCAGTATCGTAAAGTGGTTACAGTAGACTAGACGATACCATGAGCTAAACCATTCACTTGATCCAACGATGAAGTCTTCAATCATGCTTGGTGTCTTAGTAAAAGGCTTAAATGATAACATGCTACCTAAATGGTAGAAAATGTAAAAAACACTTTGTTGTTCTGAACAAGTATGGAATGTCATTAAATGCTCAACATTCAAAAACAACAAAAGTGATAAGGGAAAAGAAATATATGTTACATGCATATCTATTATACTTTGTGCATATAACCTACTACATGCATCCACCTGTTCCATCCGATACATATTAGAAGTGGACGTTAGAAACAAAGAAGACATTCATGGATTGTTCTCTCTAACATAAGTTGTGCTAGATAAATAATATTACCTACTTTTGTCACAGTACTGAAAAAGCAAGTCTCTTATGAGAAGTTGACTTTAACCAATGGCTGCTTCATACGATAAGACTAAGAAGACACAAGGTTCAAGGCACAAGCTTAGTTTAACGGATATCTTTTATGAAGCCTTTAAATAAAAGATGATTTGAAGAAAGAATAAAGAGAATAACATATGTAAAGAATAGCTTACGAAAAGAATAATAAGAGAAGAGAAAAAAAAACATATCATCGAGAGAAAAGCACAAAAGAGCTCAAGAACTCAAAAGAGAATATCTAAGAAAAGAAAAAGCTCAAGTCTACAAATACTCTCAAGCTTCATTGTAATATAAGCTTACAAATTGTAAGTAGAGAGAAAAGAGAGAAAAACACTTATCGAGTTTGTAGATTGAATTGTATTGAACAATATCCTCTCTGCGAGGTAATCGTTTATTAACTTGTAAAAAATAAGATTGATTGCACATTCTCAAGAGAATTCAAACACTTGTTGATTAACTCAAGTGAGTTAAGGATTACTAGGCAGCATATCAAGTTGATACTAGGATTGTTTAGTTGCAACCAGAAGTGGGTGAAACTTAACTAGACGGTGTATCAGGTTGATACCAAGAGCGCCGAGGGATACCGAAAGTAGTGAAGAATACTGCACAATCAGGAATGGGTGAAACTCAACTAAACGGTGTATCAAGTGGATACCAAGAGTGTCTAGGGATACCAGGAGTGGTGAAAATATTCAGTTGTAACCTTGTTGAAGATTATAGTGGAACCCTATAAGGTCAGAGGAGACTAGACGTAGCATAGTTGAAGTGAACCAGTATAAATACAACTATGCACTTGTTGTCTTACTCTTTCTCTCAACGCTTCTCTTATAAAACTTGCAGTTGCAATTTTATCTTTATACAAAACTTTCTATATCAAACGAATTTTATTAAAAATGAAGTTTTATTAAAATGTTGTAGCGAATATCTCTCAACCATTGAATAACACTTGAAAATAACTCATTGGTTAAATTAATTTCAAAGTCGAGTTATTAAACATCCTACGTAAAATCTTTCATACTCGAAGAAGGTGCTATATTATATCGGTTGCAAAAAAGTTTTTCAATAACACTATTCAACGCCCCCTTTTAGTGTTTTTCAGGTACTTCAAGATTAATATTTGGATTTTCTCTTATTGTCTTATCTAACCTGTCACTTAACCACTTTGAAATGATTAGACAAACATTAAATTCCCTACTACATTTATGGTTGTTGATATTTTTCCTTAACTGCCATGTACTTTGTGCAGCTTTATACATACAATAAGCATACCATTAACATTTGCCTTTTGCACCATAACATTTAACAACCACTTTTCGTTTGTCATTTCTAAAAATATTCAATTTTCTACCACTGTGAACACCATAAGTTCTAATTGCTTTAGTGAATTCTTCTTTTTAGTGAAATACATGTCAACCTCCCATTTATAATCTTTCACAGTTTTGGGCATTGAGAATATCCCAAAGTTCGCATATTGGTCTCTATCTTCATTCGATGACTCATTAAATTCAACACTTTTAAACTTTTAGATTCCTATTCAGTCTTAGACAAACCTCTATCATGTAAAGATGACATTCCAATGGATGACCTAGTTCCCATATCAACTTCGACATTACCTTGCCATAATTCATCTTCAACTTCATCTCATTAATATTAACATCCATTAAATCATTTTCACTCAAAATGTATGTTCGAACTCACTACAAAGACTAAGATAAAAGTCATCCTCACTATGACCCTTTTCATAGTGCCCATCTCCCTCCACATTAACTTGTACTTGACAATGAGCGTCTCCCTCTCCATTAAATTCTTATTAACAATCATTATTTCCCTCCACATCAACCTCAAGTAGACTCTCTCCCTCAAAACCAACATCAAGTACATCTCCTTCCTCCAAACCAACTTTAGGTACACTTTATCCCTCCAAACCAACCTTAGGTACACCCTCTCCCTCTAAACCAACTTCAGGTACACACCTCCCGCTCCAAACCAACATCAGGCAGACCCTCTCCCTCCAAACCAACATTAAATAGACCCTCTTCCTCCAAACCAACATCAAGCAAACTCTCTTCCTCTAAACCAACATCAAGTAGACATTCTCCCTCCAAACCAACATAAGGTAGACCCTCTCCCTTCGAACCAAACTCAGGTACACCCTCTCCCTCCAAACCAACCTTAGGTACACCCTCTCCCTCTAAACCAACCTCAAGTACACCCTCTCCCTCCAAACCAACCTCAAGTACACACTCTCCCTCCAAACCAACCTTAGGTACACCCTCTCCCTCTAAACCAATCTCAGGTACACCCTCTCCCTCTAAACCAACCTCAGGTACACCCTCTCCCTCTAAACCAATCTCATTACAATCACCCTCAGCAGCAAAATATTAACATATTTATTATGTGAGGTTCGAACACCATGTGTACAACATACAAGTGAACTTGACCATTAAGTGTGGCAATGTTCACCATATGACATGCACCTTTGTCATCGGACAACAATTCCAATATTCTTTCCAACACAAAACCTCCACATAGTGAATACCACAACTCCTTAACATTCACATAACTCATCTCCATAAGAATGGAGAATATCTCAAAGTAGATACATCTATCTAGGTCACAAGAAAACGTACTGCTTTCTCCATCGTATTTCAGTGGCCCATTATCCACAAATTTTCCACCTTGGTGAAACACTACTTCAATATGTGCCTCATACATCTCAACTAATATGTGTGGGTGTGTATATATAACCTTGTTAAACACGAAAATGACCAAAGAATATGAAAGATATTACATTTCATATAACAAATAAATCCACACACCGATTTCGAATGGGGGACCATAGTAAAAACACCATCAGACATAATGAGGGACAATAATTGTCAACTTATTACATAAACAAATATGCATTCCACCATATTACACACAAAATTACAAAAATGCACAACAATGTTAAAAACCCTAAAATGACACATACAATCACATACATTCAATACTAACGTACCTTCAATCAAACTCACTTCACTACCAATTAAATTTTGATTCTTCACTTTCACTTCTCTGTGAACTGAATCCCAATTTCTCTTATTCTCTTTGTTGTCGAATCCTTAATTCCGTTTCTAGTCAAAGCTCTATCAATCCCTAATTTATCACTATATCAATTTCGTTTTTTTTTTTCTGAGCACTCCTTTTTTTCACATCATAGTGTTCTACATGTTACATGTTAGAAAAAAAATGTTACCACATCACATAATACTCAAGTTAACATACACAATAAGTTAATGTTATCGATATAAATAATGTGAATAAAAAATGACTTATGATGCACATTAAACCATTTGGGGACGAACATATTGTCCCTAAAGTGGGTACCAAATGATCAATTAAGCTAAAATTAAGAAAAAGAAATATTATTGATGTAAAAAATATTTGTGTTCAAAGAAAAAAAAAAGGAGAGTATATATAAAACATAAGGTCCATGACATAAAGAATGCATAAACCTAACAGAATAATAGTAAAGAGTACAAAAACTCGATCATATAAACTCGACAGCTTAAGCTTGACCATATAAGTTCCACAATTTAAACTCGGATATATAAACTCGAGAGCATAAACTCAATCATATAAGATCGACCAAAATAATCTCAAAAGTACAAATTCGGGTCATTTCATTTATATTTATGTTATTTTAAGACTCTATTTAAGCCATTATGATATTAATATAACGTGAGTTAGAAATTAAACAGGTGATTGATTGACATCTTAGCTTGATGAATATTAACACATTAATTTGAATGATGCTTTGATCTAGTTCGTAATGCGTTTGATTTTATGGGTTGATTCATGTTATAACACCAATTAGAAGATTTTTGTAGTTTTCTCATAATAGCAGCACGAAAGTTTGAACTTATCAGTCTTCAAGGAGTCGTGCGGGGTAATCATCAACATCATTTGGCTCATTCTAAGCGCAACCATTAATGACAGTCCTATGAGCTCTTACAGAATCATCAACATACATTTCTTTGTAAAAGAATGTCATTTCACTCCATTAAACCTGTGAAGCTAAAATGTCTTATTCAATCGAACGACAATGGTAATACAAAAGCAACTTGAACCATTTGAAAATGACAATAGAAAGGTTAAATATGTGGAAACTATTCAGGTGGAGGAGGAGGTGGTGGTGCGTCTTTATTAACGGGTTTGCCTCTAGCTCTCAGCTTGTCTACTTCTTCTTTCATGGCTTCTTTTCTCCTTTTGCTAGCCAATATTTTAGCCATAACACCACTCACGCCCGGGTCCTTTTTCTCCGTCGGTGGTGGAGGCGGTGGACGCCTTGCCGCACCACTTGCCCTTTGCTCATCAAGCAAACCCAACCCCACCACTACCGCACCACTCAGCCCCATCAATGTCCTACACGCAATATTGTAATTGTAATAACAATGCACCATTCTTTATTTCATTTTATTAGGTAGCTTATTCGATTTATTCATTTAATTTCAATAGACTACAATAATAATAATAATAATGAGTAAAAGTAAAACATTTCTCTATGTTAAGAAGTTATAAAGTATTACCAGTTTTGCAGTTGCAGTTATAAAGGAGATACCTGCGATGCAGAGAGTGGCCACGATGAGAAGGGACTTGATGAAGATCAGAGATGGAAGAGGGCTGTGATTGTTGATATTGGGGACCAAAGCTGGACACTGTTGACGTCGGAAAGTTACCATTTTTCTGAGAATAGAGGAGGGTCTTGCGGGCTCTCGAGGAGAGAGCTGCTGCAGCAGTGGTAGGAGGTGGTGTTAGTAAATGAGCCATTGGCTCCTATTCTGAAATGAGGAAGCAGAAGCAGAAGCAGTCAGGAATAGGCAAGTGGTTTATTGATTAAGTTTTGGTGGTTATCTCGTTACACGAAGTAGGAAAATACTCGCTAACGTTAGTGTGGATGTTATTTGAATAAATGTGTGATCTGATAGTGGAAATCCATTGGCTCATTCCGGATAAGGTTCCATCCGTGGACCCTCACCAGCTTCGCCTTTATTTTAAATCACGTTTTTTTGTTTATTAAAACCAAACGTATGCCTTTATGGTAGCAAGCCATCATCAAACAAAGCTCGTTGAACATCAATAACCATATCCATGATCGTGAATGAGGGAATGAGAAGGCTCTACATAAATACAGATGGATAAGAAGAAATTCTGCTTTAGGATCAAATGCTGATCAGCTTGCCAGTTTAAACGTAAAATATTGCAAACAGTGCTCCAGTGCACATGTACAGAATTTAGAAAATCTGAGAGAAACGATTACATTTAAAATATAAGTCAAAAATGAAATTCACCCTTTTTGGTAAACTAAATAACTACTAAAATCGAACCTCCAAACCCTAACCTCATCCAAAACTCCCAAATCCCACCTTTTCCAAGCACCCACAAGTGGCCAGAAATTATACAAATAATGTTCCTATAGAATAATCCTATAATACTATTACATCAATGGATGAAACTTTACAGCTACATAATACAACATAATGTTTACACAGTCAATCAATATAATAATCAGTACTGACGTGTAATTAAACTGCTCCCAGGCTAGCCCATTTGCCAAGGTCATATGGATCAGCATAGTAATACAGCTTAATTCTATTAGACAAAGATAGCCCTACTGCCAGTGGAGAAATTCTAGTGCCAGAATCATCTTGTTCTGAGGGGTCATCAGTAAAAGCTGCAATATCTCCAAGTAGTTTGAAGGAAATTCTGCGAGTTTGTATCTGGCCAGAGAAATCAAAGTACATCGGTGTTCCCGCTCGTGCCTCTGGTAATCGGTACTCACCAATGGTGACCACGGTATGGGGTTCCTGAAATCAATCAAAATAGTCCGGTTGTTTCACCCATAAAAGATGAATAAAAAGGAATATTTCAAAAGTGGGGTGAGTAGGTGTAAAATGTAATAAAAGAAAATGTCTTTATCCGACACCTCATGTTCATGGAATAGTTAGTTCATAACTAGTCTTTAGAGAGCCAGAGGTCTCTAAATCAATCGGGCTCGCCCCTTTCTAATTAAACAAAAAATAGAATTTTAGCATAGACTAGGTGGTCTATGGACCCCTGATTCTATGCCTCTAGCCAATGTAACATAAAAATCATTTATATTTCTTCACCTAAGAGCTTAATATTTTCGAATTGCTATTTCATGATAAAAAAAGACTTAGACTTCAAAATATCATTAAAACTAAGACTTTCTACATTTTATCCTTATTATGTGATCAATTGGGCTAAGAGTTGTTGTACCGATTGTATGAAGTCCAATTCGAATAAGCTTATTATTTTGGAGTACACATACATCCTAGGAAGGTTGGTTCCTATGTTTCTGACTTTTGGCTTCCTCTTCCTTCACATTGGATTAAATGTAACATACTTATGCTGATGGGACAGCTAAAGGTTGTCTTAGTGTATTTGGTTGTGGGATTATTTTTAGAGATCATCATGCTTCCATTGGGGATTATTTCTCTTCATAGCTTTGTGTTCATAATGCTTTATATGCTGAGATCATAGGTGTCATTGGATTAATTTTTGGATGAGTCTAACTCTCAACTTATTATTCAAACTCGGCCAAATACTAGTATTATTCCTTAGAATCTTCATTAATAGATGGTTGAATTGTTGTGTGAATAGTAATACTACGTGCATTCATTGTTTGCATATTTTTAGAAAAGGTAATCAATGCATGGATAAAGTCATTATGGCACTAGATCTCAAGGTTATACTTGGTGGGATAATGTTCCTAGTTTTAGTTGTCCTGAGTTTTCATGAGATTTTTTATTTACCCTTTCAAAAAGGTTTAGGGATTAATGGGTCAGGTTTGGTTCCCCCACTGCATTTATATTTTGTTCTTTCTTTTTATAATATTTTGAGGTGCTGCAAATGATTGATATTGTTCGTGGTGCCAACATAGTTGGGGTGGCAAACAACATAGAGATGCCTTAGCACTCTCATTTCTATTAAAGAAAATTGCTCTTATGGAAAATTTTCTATGAAACAAACGGACGATCCATTTTTCTATTACTTCAAAATAGTACAACTTGTGCTTCTTCGTGGACATAATAAAAACATTTTGTGAATTAAACCCTGATGCCGTTTCTTATTATTTTAAAATTCATTCTGCACATTATTGTGTAGGTGTCAAACAACCATGGCCCGACCAAAAAATTAGGTACACAAAATCAGAGCTCTAATAAATATAGCAATTCATGGAAGGAGAATCTCCATGGATATATACCTAGGCAAGAGAAACGTGACAAAAGCAGTAATGTTTCAGTAACTACCTGGAGAACGGATACTTGAATGTGCAATACGGCTGGAGTGATGTATCTGTCATCCACAAGGGAAGGAAAACGTTTGCTATGTACATCTGAAAAAGGTGAATGGGTAACCCGAGGCTTGATTGCACTAAAGGCATCTAGACGAAATCCAGCAAGCAAGGGAGAAACAGGAGACAGATACTGCTCCAGGACAAGATCATTGTCCATCAATCTTTCGGCCTCAATTGGAACCTAATAAAAGAAGAAGTTAATAGATATTTTTGAGACAGATAACTTCAAAAGCAAAATGACTATCACAAAAGGATTAAGCAAAATAGCGCAGATTTTACCTTGAATCTGTTTAGCTGTGGTGCTCTTTCCAACCACCCAGTCAGGGCCAACTGGTCAGAGCTTTGTTGTGGTTTAAGATCAACTTCCTTCCTAGCGGAGCTTCCAACCACTAAAATCCTCTTGGCATGAAGACAGGGTTCACTCTCAATAGATCCGCCAAATGAGGCACGTCGAGTTTCTTGTGCAAAAGGGTTCTCATCAACAGACAAGAGATTGAAGTCATTTCCAATATTCATAGAACTTGAACCAACTCGCTGAAGGCGTAAACTTATCCAAATTATGCGGCAGCGAACAGAATTCTTGAAGGGAAACTTCACATGTCTAGGCACTTTATGCTCTGTTCCTGATTTTTCAGGTCCATATAATTCTGAGGAAGAATTAATCATAGATTGCAGATCCCACTTTCCCATTAAAGATCTTTCTTCCTTGTGTATTTTGTTACTTGCCCAAATTTGCACCTGCGCCAACATATTCCTAGAGTTTAACTTTAAACTGAAGGAACAATAAAAGGAAATAAAGCACAGAGGAATGACATACGAATACTTACAATAGGAGCATCAGCCGCAGAGTAGCCACATGGGCTGACAATCAATATAACCCCACTAACATCAGAAATATTGCCCAGGACAATTCCAAATTCAACGGCAGAGGTACGAGATGGAGCTTTCCAATATGATAACCCCAAACCAGAATTTAAAGGCGCAAGCAATGACAAAAATGGAGCAGAATCTGCAGCTGCTTCAACCTGCAATTTCATGGATAATGGTTATCGCATATAGATTTGTTGCAAAAGCAGGATTACACTTGCATTTGAAAGACCAGAATCATATTGGCTCCCCAATAAGAGAAAAATCTATTATTTTCCCTGCATGGTGGCAACACAAAATTTAACCCCATAATGCTTCACTTAATATGCAATTAGTTGATTAAACCACTGAAAATGATTTAATATTTGTTAAAAAGCAGCCAATGTAATTAACGATATATGGTATTTGCTAGTTTTCTAAATCTTTTCTAGACAACAAGATTCTTTTTACTATATTTTTTGGATATACCACTTGAAAATCATTAATTCAGCTCCAGGATCTAGCAAAATGAGGCATCGTAATCATACGCAAGAATTCAGCTACAAAAACTCATATACACAATTCTGGCAATTGCATGGTTAAATTTTGAGATTATTTGAACAAAAACTTATATCTCAAGTTCTTCCATCAATTGTATCAAATGATTTCCTTCCTTTCACAACAACATATTCACTGATGAACAATCAAATATAAAAATCATTTAGATAATTGGTATTAATCTCATCCATGCATGATTTAACTCTTGATGAAAGTTTTATATCATTGATTAAACACATCTTTGGTAGATGCAGCTGTATGTCGCTCAATAATTCACATGGAAAAGTAAAACAACATGAAGCAGTGCCAAAAATAAAAAAATATTTAGTTAAAAAATATACCGGGTGTAGAAAGCTGCCAAAAGGAAATTCAGCAAGGGATTCATATCCATTCAGTAATGAACTTACTGCTTTTCCATTAGGCTTGTTATCATAGGCATGATTCTTTTCTAGAAGGTAATCCCAAGATAAACCAATAATTTGCTTCAAGGCATTGCATGCAGCCTTTTCCACACGTTCTGTTCTTCGTAAGCTAATCAGAACCCTCACATGGTCCAAAATCAATGCCTGAAGCACAATATCCTGGCAACATCGTTTGCAAATTATACCATCCCGAGCTAGTAAACGATTTACAGGTAAATCAACTAGGCAACTTTGGCTTGAAGCACCATTGTAATTCATGACCTCTCCTCTAGTGTTATATCCTACAAGCAAAAGTGCCCCCCTCCCTGCACAGCAAACTCTACATACCTTCCTTTCACATTGGGAACACAAGAATAAAGCTTCTGAAGCACCACTAGATGACATTGTGCTAGATGAATGACCTGCCTTTTTAATTTCGGCACGCACTTCACACTTGCCACCAGAACAGGTTTCCTCAAGACTGATAATGTTCCAGAAATCTATTGGATTATCATCAAGAGTCCCAAGACCAATAGCAGAAACAATTTTATCTTCAAGAGAAGTTTCACCAAGCAGAGCAAGATTGTTTGCAACTTTAGATAATTTTGCCATATAAGCTTCATCAAGAAGTGCATTGGGATTAATGGTTGCAGGATCCATTCCAACGGATAGCAAGGCTCTATCCCTTTCAGCAGCAGAAAGATTCAACTTAAGACGTTCAATTTCAAGTTTCATGGCTTCAA